TCTTAGGGTTTCAGGTATGGGATCACTGTTGTGCCCTACACAAGTAGCTAGGTTTTGCTTTTCACAAAACCAGAACTTTCTTAAAAAATATTTGTATAACTAAGAGAAGGAAAGAAAAAGAAAATCTGAAGAAACTCAGATGAGACTCTAACCTCTGGACCCCTTCAATGCTCTTCCTTCCACACCTTTGTTAATTTGTATGTGCAAATGGTGTCAGGAGACCGAAGTCTAGGCTTGGCCTCACCACTTACAAGCATGTGACCATAAGCCAGTCCTTCTCTTGTTCTCCCAAGGCCTCTGTTTCCACACCTGTAAAATAGGGATAATGTCTTCCCTGCCTACTCCCCAAGGGCTGCTGTAGGGCCTTCAGCAAATGATGAGCATAGAAACGCTAAAGCACAATCTGCATCTAGATTGTCTCTATATTCCTGCGTCTGGGGGTCAGGATGACAAGGGCTTGGGGGCAGCTCCCCTCCCTTGCACACAGCTCCTGGGGCCTGGTCTTCAGCAATCCCCACAATCACCAGCTTTGTGCAGGAACCTATTATGATCTCCAAGCATCCTCACGCTCCTGAGATGGCTGATAATAAGAGCTGAGATGAATTCTCCTTAGTGTATGCCAAACACTGTGTTGGGTATTTTATATTCTTTATCTTGAATCATTAAAATAATTATAGATGCCAAGTATTTTTTTAATTGATCAAATACAGTTTTGTTTTTATAAATCACACCCTGAAATATAAAACTGATAAGGTAGTATTGGTCTTATCCCAAGGAAAGTCAGATCATCAACACCAGTTTAGAAAACAGGGCACGAGAACAGATGAAATATGAAGTTCACTTGGGGAAAAGCATGTTCATAATAACAAGGTAGGAAGTCATCCTTTTCACAGATGTTGGGGAAATGTAGATATTACCCCCATTTTACAATTCAGGAAACTGAGGGGTGAAGTAACTTGTTCAAAATCACACAGCCAGTGAGTGATGTGAAGCCAGGATGGGAGCCTAAGTCTCACTAGATCCAAAGTCTATTTTTCTTTGGCTACACTATACTGAGTGCCTCAGAATCCCTGTCTGCTCACAGACTGATCAGACTGTATCCCTATTCCTTATAGCCACAGGCTGGTAAAAGTTTGGGATCATGCATAAAAGCATAAGTAACAATTTGTCATTACTCAGTCTTCCCTGAAACTGGGTGTTTGGAGGTTGAGTTAAGGTGGGGATAGAGGTTCGTGGCTGGGGTTAGTGATGAGAATTGGATTTGCAGAGAATTGAAATGGTCACCATGAACACTCCTGGGAATGTATATTGATACTCTGACATTCTGGGCATAACTCGCTGTTAATTAACCCAATAAACATTACTGAGCCCCTAATATATGCTGGTGCTGGAGCTATAGGGCTCAGATATGGTTCCCTGTCCCCCATATACATTTGACAAACCTGAGTTCACGGAATGCTTTTGTTAAATACTTGAAAGTGGGGCGCCTGGGTGGCTCAGTTGGTTAAGCGACTGCCTTCGGCTCAGGTCATGATCCCGGAGTCCCGGGATCGAGTCCCGCATCGGGCTCCCTGCTCAGGGAGGAGCCTGCTTCTCCCTCTGACCCTCCCCCCATCTCATGTACTCTTTCTCTCATTCTCGCTCTCTCAAATAAATAAATAAATCTTTAAAAAATAAATAAATAAATACATAAATACTTGAAAGTTAAAATTAAAAAAATACAAAGAGCTAAAGCTAACACATGATATTTTGCAGACCTAAGCAGGAAAGGGATGAAGGAAGAAGGGAGAATCAGAGCTGAGGCTGTGCTTAGTTAATAAACTCATCATAAGGGCTCCTGGCTGGATCAGTCAGTAGAACATGTGACTCTTGATCTTGGGGTTGGCAGTTCAAACCCCACATTGGGCATAGAGCCTACTTAGAAAAAATAATTATTTCCCAACTAACTCCCAAAAGAATCTATACAAAAATTAAAACAAAACAAACAAGCTCATCATCATGTTTGTGTGTCTGTTGGGGAAAGCCTGGCCGACCACAGAAATTAAGAAAGGGGGGGGGTCACTCTGTCTTCTACAGAGGACATTGAGAATAGGCTCCCTTTATCCCCAATCCCCCAAACACTACCATGGCTGAAAAAGGCCAAGGTTTGGAAACCTCAGAGCACTAGCCTGAATAGCTAAGCAGTCAAAGACACCATTGTACACTATTCCCCAGCCCTGAGAACCCTTCCCCATTAGCTTTCCTCCCAACAGCCTGGGACGCACTGGAATATCAAACAGGTAGCTCGGCCATTTACAGAGGATTATGGCTATTTAGTCAGTAGCTGGGAAAGTAAAAGGATAGGGTAGGTATTTAAAAAATAAAAATGCACCCTGACATTTTTACACTGTCTTACAGTTTACAAAACTTCGGTATCTACCATCTCATCTATTTTAGATTTGATTGTCAGAATGCCTTGTGAAATAGAGAGATGCTATCATCTCCATTTTACAGATGGGAGGACAGAAGCCCAGAAAAGTTAGTGTTGCTGTTCTGGTATGTTACAGGATTTAGGAAATCACAGAGAAGGAGAACTGCCCTGAGTGCAGTAGACAGGGCCTATCCGGGAAGGCTTCTTGGAGGCAATCCAAGAGCTCAGTAGAAAAAGCACAATAATGCACTAAATAAATGAGGGGGAAACTCCCGGTATATGATTTCACAAAGGCTTGAAAGTGTGGAGAAGGGGCACCTGGGTGGCTCAGTCGTTAAGCGTCTGCCTTCGGCTCAGGTCATGATCCTGGGGTCCTGGGATCGAGCCCCGCATCGGGCTCCCTGCTCTGCCAGAAGCCTGCTTCTCCCTTTGCCACTCCCCCTGCTTGTGTTCCCTCTCTCTCTGTCAAATAAATAAAAAAATTTAAAAAAAAAAGTGTGGAGAAGACTGGAGACACTGGCAGGAGCAAGATGAAGATGATGATGGTGGTGGTGGGGACCATGACAGCAGCTAACACCTATCCATGCTTACTAAGTGCAGATACTGTTAGAACAGATAGTGTTCTAAGCTATTTATCTACATTAATTCTCACACGTACCTTGTTAGTAGGTATTTTTATTATCCCCATTTAACAGACGAGGAAATTAAGGCACAGAAAAGTACCTTGCTCAAGGCCATACATGATCTTGTTTGCTAACTTAAAAAGTGTGAATTCTATTCCAAGAGCCAAGAGCACCTCTCACTCGGCTCTCAGCAGAGATGGACACAGATTTGTGATTTAGAAAGCCTTCTCTGACACAGGATGGACTGGGTGTTGGAGAGGGGGAAGGAAACTGGAATCTGAATAGGCTTTTGGTTCAAGAAGCTGAACAGAGTGGGGTAGAGAGCAGAGGAGCATTCCCACAATGTCTGGTGCTTGTAGGTAAGCAATTGCCCTCACATGACTCTGCTTTCTCTACCTGTAAAGGCAGAATGATGTATTTCCACCTACCCGCCTCAGGAATTGCTTGAAAATTAATGGGATAGAGGCCTCGCTGGCTTTCATGTGTTAAACAACACCCCTGTATGACTGCTGGTGTTCATTAAATGCTGAACATATAAAATGTGCTTTGAACGGAGGAGCCGGGAATAATTATAGCTTGCTAATTATTGTTAATTTTACCACAGCTTTGAAACCCTGGACTTTCTCAATGATTCAAAAACGAGATTGCAACCCCTCCATCCCATTAAAGTAGCCACACAGAGGCAGACAAGCAATTTCCCACAGGCTCCATTCTTTTCCTATTTGCTGTGGTTCAGCTACTTATATGCGACACAGAAAGAGAAAAGCAACGATTTACTCTTTTAGAATCAAGTTATACAACGAACCCCTTAAAATCTTGCTTTTTTTTTTAAAGATTTATTTATTTATTTATTTGACAGAGAGAACACAAGCAGAGGGAACAGCAGAGGGAGAGGGAGAAGCAGGCCCCCGGCTGAGCAGGATCCCAAGACCCTGGGATCATGACCTGAGTCGAAGGCAGCCGCTTAACCGACTGAGCCACCCAGGTGCCCCTTGCTTGTTCTTTTTAAGAACAAGTTCCTTTATGTCTCCCTACACTGAGTGCATGTGTGAAAATTATGTTTCTCTGTGTGTCTGTATGTCTGTGTGTATAGAGGAAAAAGGTGTTTAACAGAACATCTGACACATTGGACATGGGGACACCTGGGTTTTACTCATGATATGGTAACAAACACTGCACCCTTTCTTCGGATTCTTCACCACTCTGTTTCCATAAACATTGATTTAAGGTTTCACAACCACCAGGCAGAATACCAAAGACTCCTCCGAAAAATCTGAGGCTAGTGATGGCTGGGTGACTTTAAGTCTCAGCCTCAACTGCATCGCCTATAAAATGGGTCTGAAAGATTGTCCATACCTGTCAGAACTGAGGTGAGGATGAGATAATGCTTGTGAACTGTAAACTATGTAACTGATTGCTACTAGGAAAACTGGGGGGTAGGGTTGGGATAGGGTTTGGAAAGGGAACATGAAAGGGAGGGGGTAAGAGACAAAAGCTTGGCGATCTCGCGCGCCTTACTTTTCAATGAATTTCTTAAAAATTCCAGTCCAGGAGAGCCGCCAGGCCACCCACGGTCCGCAGGCTCCTCCCCAGGTGAGCCGCCCCCCCTCCGCTCCCCCCTCCCCGAGGCCCGAAGGTGAGTATCGGTGTTCTTCTCCCGGGCTTTCGGTCTGGAGGAGGCGGGAGCAGCCTTCGCTCCCCTGATCCTATCGCGGGCGGCGCAGGGCGGCGCAGGGCGGGCTGTGCCTTCCGTGGGACGGTGACGGGGCGGGGGGGGGGGGGGGATGTGTCACCCAAATACCGGAGGGTGAGTCCGCCCAACCAGCCCGGCAGGTCCGCCGGAGTATAAGAGCGGAAGGGAGCGGCCAGAGGCAGACGCCCGAGACCGTCCCAGCGCGGAGCCGGAGCCCCGCAGAATCCCCAGCGCCTGGTCCGCCCGAGTCCCGTCTGCATCCCGCGTCCCCACCATGGCCCGGGGTCCGGGCCTCGCGCTGCCGTCGCCCCCGCTGCCACTGTTGCTGTTGCTCCTGGCGGCGGCGATCGGCCCCGCGGCCGCAAAGGACAACTGCACGTGCGCCACCAATAAGATGACCCTGTGCCGCGCGGACGGCCCGGGCGGCCGCTGCCAGTGTCGCGTGCTCGGCTTGGACTTCCCGGTGGACTGCTCCACGCTGACCTCCAAGTGCCTGCTGCTCAAGGCGCGCATGAGAGCCCCCAAGAGCGGCCGCGCGCTCGTGCGGCCCAGCGAGCACGCGCTCTTGGACAACGACGGCCTGTATGACCCCGACTGTGACCACGAGGGCCGCTTCAAGGCCCGCCAGTGCAACCAGACGTCGGTGTGCTGGTGCGTGAACTCGGTGGGCGTGCGCCGCACCGACAAGGGCGACCTGAGCCTGCGCTGCGACGAGCTGGTGCGCACCCACCACATCCTCATCGACCTGCGCCACAGCCCGGCCGCCCGCGCCTTCAACCACTCGGACTTGGACGCCGAGCTGCGGCGGCTCTTCCGCGAGCGCTACCGGCTGCACCCCAGGTTCGTGGCGGCCGTGCACTACGAGCGGCCCACCATCCAGATCGAGCTGCGGCAGAACGCGTCCGAGAAAGCTCCCGGCGACGTGGACATCGCGGACGCCGCCTACTACTTCGAGAGGGACGTCAAGGGCGAGTCGCTGTTCCCAGGCCCTGGCGGCCTCGACGTGCGCGTGCGCGGCGAGCCCCTGCTGGTGGAGCGGACGCTAATCTACTACCTGGACGAGAAGCCCCCCCAGTTCTCCATGAAGCGCCTCACGGCCGGCCTCGTCGCTGTCATCGTGGTGGTCGTGGTGGCCCTCGTCGCCGGCGTGGCCGTCCTGGTGATCACTAACCGGAGGAAGTCGGGCAAGTACAGGAAGGTGGAGGTCAAGGAACTGGGGGAGTTGAGAAAGGAACCGAGCTTGTAGGTACTGGCGGGGCAGGGGGTGGGGCGGGGCACCGGATTTCGGCCGGGCCCCAGACCGAAGTGAGCCGCGCTCCCTGACTCTTGGCCCAGAGGAGACCTTGCTCTTTCCAAATTCCTGCCTCTCCCCACCCCCATCGAGTTTTAATAGATCCTGGGCCCAGGGTCACCTCTCTTTCTGACTTCTGGCTTTCAGAGGAAGCATTGCTAAAATTCCTTCCCTTTCGGTCCAACAAGAAACCTGACTCGGAGAGTTCAGGAAAGTTCGGCGCGGGGTTACGAATATAAGAATCACCTGTCTGTATTACAGTCCGGCATCGTTTGCCACGGACATCGTCGGTGTTGAAGGCTTACATGCGCTTAGAGGGGGGAGGAGGGGAGACAGCGCTTTTAACGTCTTGGGTTAAGATATTTGATTAGCTCCACATATATCCTGGCCTTGCTGGTGAGAAGAGGAGTTCGCCACCTCAGCCCGCGTACTCTCCTCATTTGCTGTATTACCAGCCGCATATGCTTGTCACCGGGAAAGAAGCCTGTTTCAGCTGCCTGAACACATTGGAGGTGTCTTTGTTTGCCGGCGGACTACGCCCCAGAAACTCAGCGTCTGTTCTTCAGCCTGCCCTTATTATAGCTGATATTAGTAATGTTTCTTTTGTAAAATGTTTGTACATATTTTGTCTTTGATAATGCTGCTGTGATTTTTTTAAAAAAAACAAAACACGAATTTAATAAAATATGGAGAAGGCACCGACCAAAAGATGGAGTTTGTGAAAACTCGCTCCAGATTTGTATCACTTGGGTTTCCTCTCATTTCCCACGATTCCGATTTCTTATTCCAAATTCTAACACTTTTTTTTTTTTCCTTGCAGGAGCAGGCATTTCATTTTGCCACTCCGGTGTTTCCTGAGATGCCTTATACAGGCTGGTAAAAGTACTGGTCTTTCTAAATAAGATTGTTTGAAAACTTCCCCCAGAGTGCAGGAGGGTGGGTCTGGGGGGAGGAGGCTAGAACTAGCGGCTGTTGTAGGGATCGGGGACCAGTTTTAGGTTCTCTAAAGAATCTCTGGAGGAGAAAAAAAGCACTACCTTTGTTTGAGGAGGTGTATCTCCTTTGACTCCCAGCCCTACTTGGAAGTGGTGGTATTATTCCCATGTATCCCCTGGCGATTTACTTCATGTCAAAGCATCGTGGCTCCCCAGACAGGTTAAAGGATTTTCTCATGTAGTTACAGCTAGTCTGTAGTGGGCCCTACGCCCTGGCGTGTGTTGGGAGGACAGCACCCACCCAAGTTGTTTTCCAAAAATTTCACAGGTAATATGCTTTAAAAACTTCTACTTCCTATTAGCTGTAAAAACTGGCAACCTGTCACTTCCCAGCCTCTTGGCTAAGATCAAGGGTAAAACCGGCAACCTGTCTCCTTCACCCTTCTTTCCTCATTTTCACTTCTTCTCATTCATTTATGTGGAGTGTGTTAGAAGGTCACTGTTGAGTAGCCTACAGGTAAACAAGTTTCAGCAATTACTGGGAAATTGGTGCAACAATGGGTGTGCACAAAGGAGGGAGTGGTTGGTACACCTGTCGGTAAATAGCTAAATGCAGGACTTCAGTTTCCCCCCCCTGGAATCCATCTCTTGTTCCTCCTTCCACTCCCAGTCTGTGGTTTATGCCTACCCCTCAAAGGCTGAAACACCAGTTAAGAACCAGGGAGGTGGCTTTCAGCTGGCCTTCCCGGCTTAGGGTGGATCCCTAAGTATATAAGCACTCCTGCTAGGGTGACACTCCCTTTAGCCACTCCCCCATCCCCCAGAGTCCTCTCTGGTTCAGATGGGGCTTAAGGAGGGGAGAAGGTGGATGTAAGCTGGCTTTCCCAAAGTACAAGTGCCCAAGGCCAGAATGGGAGCTGTAAAAGTGTGAGACTCCACTCTCAGTCAGCTCTCCTGAGTCCCTGAAGTACCTTAGCTAAAGGGACCTTGGCCATCACCTCTAACCCAGCCCCTCATTTTATAGAAGGCACAGGCGAGTGATTTCTCAAGACAAACGTTCCTGTGGCACAGCTGGAACTAGACAGTCTCACATTCCCTAGTCCAGGATTCTTTTCACAACCACAGGCTGCCATTGTTTCAAGAGTCACTTCAAAAAACTGTCACTTGACTGCCTACAAAATAAACAGATTAAGGATTGAGTCAGCAGCTGAGCAATGGGAAAATCCCTGAAAAAGCCTGTTTCTTCATAGAGTATCACTTCTGGATAATTTCTAAATTCTTGCATTAATTCGGGACTAAGAGTCTTTGCGCTTTATTACACTTAATAATTCCCAAAAGCAGTTTTTACACCTATCATCTTTGAGACATTGGCTTACTGGAAATAACCCAAGTGATGACAAACCTGCTCCACTAGGCAAGTAAGTCGCCTACCTCTGCGCAGTTTCCGCATCTGTTGAGTGAAACTTAAAAATCTATTTCATCAGTGCAAAGGTTAAATGAGGTAACTGATAAAAGTACCTGAAATGATCTGGGCACTTAGAGGTCAGGGTATCTTAAATTTCCTCCTCTCTTAGAAATCGTATCCATTTCACATGTCAGAAAACTGAGGTCCAAAGAGATGGGGTAACTTAGCATCACACAACCTCCATGTGCCAAAGCCAGGGTTTAGAATCTTTGTCTTTGGCTTCCTAGCCCAGGTCGCTATTCCATGCACCAAGCAGGTTGAAACACCTTTCCACCTTTCTTAGTCACTTCCTCCAAGGAAGAACCCTTCACGCTTGTGTTTTGAAAATAAGCTTGCATTGGCTGAGGGCAGGATTATCCAGACCTAGCTCTCCAGGGGCTTAGCCTCTACCTCCAGGATTTCCCCTAGAACTCCCATTCACTGCCTTGTGCACAGGCCTGGGACTGCCCTTGGAAGGAATGTGAGGAGCTGGTGTGGCTCACCAGGCAGGTCACAGCTTGTCTTCTGAGCCCTGTGGGAGGCTCATCTGATTTCCTTGTTTCGGTCACTGGGGCTTTCTTCCACTCTTGCTATTTCCTTAAGTGGAGCAATTAAAAAAAAAAAAATCACATCATTTTCCCCTGCTTACATATTTTTGGCTTCACTGTTTTCCAAATAGAATCACAGAATGTCAGAAGTGGAAAAAGGATCATGGAGTCCGTGACTCCATTTTGCCCATGAAGAAATGGAGGCCCAGAGAGGAGAATGGATTTACCCAAGTCAGGCAGAGAGTGGTTGCATTACTCTAGAGAGCCAATACCCTGATTCCTATCTTGTCTCATGTTTGTTCTGCTTGTCTCCCTAGTTAGTCTCCTGCTTGTTTTTATTTTTTTCCTTGATCGTTTCTACTCTTAAATTGTGTTGTGTTGTCCTTAGCTTTTTAATATCGCTTAAATTTAAGGGAGAGATACTTTGTTTAAATGTAAAATGTATGGGCTTTGAAGCTACCTGGTCTTTCCAACTCCTGTTTTCTTATTTGTGAAATAGGTAGAGTCTTACCTAATATGCTTGATTTTAAAGATTACATTAGAAGAGGGGAGCCTGGCAGGCTCAGTCGCTGGAACACACAGCTCTTGATCTTGGGGTCGTGAGTTCGAGCCCCATGTTGGGGGTAGAGTTTACTTAAAAAAAAAAAAAAAAAAAAGGACTGGGTGGCTCAGTCGGTTAAGCGTCTGCCTTCAGCTCGGGTCATGATCCCAGGGTCCTGGGATCGAGCCCCACATCAGGCTCCTTGCTTGGCGGGGAACCTGCTTCTCACTCTCCCTCTGCCCTTCCCCCTACTTGTGCTCTCTCTCTCTCTCTTTGACAAATGAATAAATAAAATCTTTTAAAAAATTACTATGGAAGATATGAAAAAAAACTGAGTATTTTGTAAATGATCACTCTTGTTAGAATGACAGCAAAGCCCCCAAGAATCAGGGGAAAAATAACTAATAATTGTTAAGCTCTCTCCAGCAATGTGAATAGCACTTCCACTGAACTTTCTTAAGGGGACATCTCTGTCCCTAGATTTCTGTTATTAAGGGGACTAGAGCAACCTTGCAAGCCACCTATTTCAAAGGCAGAGGCATGGCCCACCTGGTTTGTATAAGATAGCTGCCCATACCAAGTGGGACACCTTCATTATGGTGTGAGAAATAAACGTCTTTCTTTTGAAATTGCATTATTATTAGATCTGTGTAATAGTCTTTTACTTTATGTTAGCATACTTTTTTAGTCTAACCAGTTTGAGTGTCTATATTATTATTCTTGTAACTGATGAAAAAATTAAGACACTAACAGTTAACTTACTTGCCTCTGGCCACAGATCTAATAAGTGGTGCATCTGGCAAATTGGCCCTCAAACCCATGTTCATAACCACTGTACTGTACTGCTTCCTATAATTTGTAAATTTGCAAGCCAGACTATATTAGTTTTTACTCATTTATTAGAATGACCCACATTCATTATCTTACTATTCTCTAGGTCAGAAGTCCAATACAAATCTCACTAGGCCTAAAATCAAGAAGCCTGCAGGACTGCGTTCCTGTCTGAGGGTGCCAGGGGAAATTTTATTTCCTTTTTATTCAGGTTGTTGGCAGAATTCACTTCCTTTTCTGTTGGGGATCCAAGATCTCTGCTTTCTTACTGCGTGTACACTAAGCGCTGTCCCGGGTTTTAGCGCTTTCCTTAGCTCCTAGTCCCATTCTTCATCTTTGCAGCCAGCAATGGCCTGCTGAGTCCTCACAAGGCATCCTTCTGGCCATCTTTCCACTGTCTCATCTCTTTCTGTCCGCAGCTGGGCAAGGTTTCCCACTCACGAGGACTCATGATCAGGCTGAATCTACCCACAGAGTGCCCAACAAGATTATCCCATCTCTAGGTCTCTAACCTTAATCACATCTGCAAAGCCCTTTTTGCCATATAATGTAACATATTCACAAATTCTGGAGATTAGGAGTGGGCCTCTTTGGTGGTACGGGGCATTATTCTGTCTACCAAATCCATGCTGTCAACCAACATACCATCCTGCCTC